TCGGAGGCGCAGCCGCGGACCCCGAAGGGCCTCCAAGGGCGCAGGAGGCGCAGCGAGCGCAGCATCGGTGCGCGGGCCGTGAAGGCGCAGATCGGACCCATACCCGCCTCGGCTCCGCTGAAAATTTAGTTCCGGCGGCGGGCAAGGCCTAGACAATTGCTCCACCTATGGGCCGAGAAGCCCCTGAGCCCCTTGGAGACTCGGAGAGGAGCCCATGAAGCCTCCAAGGGATTTGGGCAAGGTTTTCAGCTTCTCCAAGAGTCACTGTTTTAATCTGAGGAGGAAGGAGAATAACAGCGATTGCCTCGTGGTGGTGATGTGAGAACTAAATAGGGTGTGTGAATTTTGCTTATACATATGCTCAGTAAATGTCATTTCAGTTAAAACGTGGCGTTTTATTAATCACTCCAGCGTTGCCCACATTCACTACCCCACTGTCTCACCTTCATTTGTGCCTCAAACAGAATGGGAGGCGAGGCAGTGAGGTTAGTGCTTCACCTCGTGTTAAATGTTTACCCCAATTTAATGCTCAGTGAGTTGTCCCACAAAAACATTTATGAATGTGAATTGCTAGTTTCTGCTCCCCGCCATCCATCCACGCTGCCTTTGCAGAGGCCTTGTTTGCTTCTTGACCAATCAAGAGTATCAGTGAACGTCCTCCCTGCTCCCCAAATTCTTTCTCTTCCTTTTTGAAGATCTCAAACACATCTGGCCCTTGACCTATGGCCACACTGTTAGATTCTCTCTTTCAATTCATTAGTATTTTGGGTCTCTTTGTTACTGATTAATGTAACCTCTTTGACAAAAATAGGGCCACTGATAGCCAGGGAGATTTGGGCTACAGGAAGGGAAAGCCACCTATGTCAGGTTGGATAAGACAGGCTTGTTACAAGGCAAGATGAGTAATGTAACAGGCAGTGGGACTGGCTTGGAGTGGGAAGCTGTAAAAAACGCTATGGGGGCTGAGCATTTAGCTCAGTGGTTCTGCCGCCTGCCTTGCAAGCACAAGGACCAGAATTCGATCCCTGTTACAAAAAAAAAAAAAAAAAGGATGAGTGTGGGCCGGAGATTTACCTCAGTGGTTCCAATGCCTGCCTCGCAAGCACAAGGACCAGAATTCGATCCCTGTTACAAAAAAAAAAAAAAAGGATGAGTGTGGGCCGGAGATTTACCTCAGTGGTTCCAATGCCTGCCTCGCAAGCACAAGGACCAGAATTCGATCCCTGTTACAAAAAAAAAAAAAAAGGATGAGTGTGGGCCGGAGATTTACCTCAGTGGTTCCAATGCCTGCCTCGCAAGCACAAGGACCAGAATTCGATCCCTGTTACAAAAAAAAAAAAAAAGGATGAGTTTGGGCCGGAGATTTAGCTCAGTGGTTCCAATGCCTGCCTCGCAAGCACAAGGACCTGAGTTCGATCCCTGGTACCAAAAAACCAAACAAACAATACCCCCCCAATCTGGGCAGCTGGGCGTGGTCCTTGAGGCAGTGAGCAGAGAGGGCTGATATCAGAATCTCTCTCTTACATGCTTTTGATCTCCTCCCTCTCTCCTCCCCTCTGCTCTGCACCGGGGATTAGACAGACCCAGAACCTTCACACTGAGCTACATCCCCACCATATTTTTACTTTGAGACATAGAAGTCATTAAATTGCCCAAGCTGGGCTGGAACTTTTGATCCTCCTGCCTCAGCCTCTCAAGGGTGCTATGATCACAGCTGTGCACCAGTACACCCAGCTCCCCCACGTCCCAGGCTGAGGATGAACCTTGCACTTGCGGTGCCACTGAGCTAAAACCCTAGCTCTCACCCAGCTTCTTCTGTCTCTGATAAAGGCATTCATTTCATTCATGAGGGCTCCACGTTCGTGACTTAATCAGCTCCCAAAAAGCCTCACCTAATAACATCATACTGGGGATTAGGCTTCTATATATGGACCAGATGGGGCTGGGAGCAGACATTTGGTCCACAGCAGAAACGATGCAGGGGAGCAGGGTCACTCTGGAGGGGTCTCTTCTGTGGGCGGCTTTGGTTCTGAAACTTCCATGTGGCTGAGCTAACACAGCTGCGCCAACCCTACTCACCCATGATTTTTAGTATAACTGCTTATTACCACCGAGGGATACAGTCCAGTCCACATTGCAGGGGAATTTCTCATGCACTTCCAGTGTTAGGCACTGTGGGGTCTCCTGAGCTCCGGAGAAGGCACTGCTCATGAACAACTCTGGTCCTCGGGCTGTGGAGAAAGTATTCTTGTGGGAAGGAGAGGGCAGGAGCCAAAGGTCAGCCTCTCCACGTTGGCGTGGAGCCGTTTGAGACAGGAAATAAGCTCCTTTTGGAAGGTGACGAGTTTGCGCGATGCTAGACTTCTCAGAGGAAATGGCTCGTGGAAAGCAGACCTTGGGAGATGAGAAAGGCCAACAGTGTTTGGAAGTTTAAGGCCTCAACTTTGAGTTGAATTGGGGGCTGCAAAAGATACTCATTGGAAAATTGTTTATTTCTTGTTTTCCCTACTAAGATAAAATTTCTGTGAAAATGAGTATGTTGTTATTCACTGTCTGGCACATGGCAGGTTTCCAATAAATGTTTTGTGGGATAAATGGCAGCATGCCAGGCTTTTGTGAGGTATGAGGGGTGAGTTATTTTCTTCTCTCCCAAAAGATTATGCCTTCTATCTTATTATTTATTTATTTTGCCCCAATATTAAGAGTTTAGGGCCGGGGATGTAGCTCAGTAGCACCACGCCTGCCTCACAAACACAAGGTCCTGAGTTCGATGGCTGGTGGGGGCGGGAGTTGACCAACAGCCTGAAGCTTGAGGCTGGATACCTGCTGGGGTTGGAAGTGTGGGAGAGCCCGGCTCTGGGCAACTGCATTCAGGTGTGCATCTACGATAGAGAGGGTGGCATGGTGACTTCATGCTGCTATAACAGAATACCTGAGACTGATAATTTATAAAGGAAAAAGGTTTATTCAGCTCATGATTCTGTAGACTGGGAGGTACAGGGTGAGGGGCCACGTCTGATGCTAGCTTTCTTGCTAGTCTGGACTCTCTACAGAGTCCCACTGCAGTGCAGGGCATCACATGGCAAGACAGACTAAGGGGCCAAGTGAGAACACACTTTTATAGCAAAGCTGCTTCCTCAGTAACCCGTAACTGACTGATCTTTTCATGAGGGCGAGATACTCATGACTCAATCATGTGCCAAAATTCTACCTCCAAATACCACTAACATATATTAATCGGGAGATGAAGTTTCCAGCACACAGTGGACACTGGGGAGGGGCACGTTTAAACCAAAGTAGATGGTACCGAGCTTCTGTTCTCAACACCCTACTTCTGTCAGTCTGAGCAGGTCTCTTGGGCCTCCGTTTCCTTGGTGGGAGATAAGTAAGGGATGACAGCGAATGCTGAACCTTCTGTTCCCACATTTCATGAAACAACCTCAGATCAGAGAAATTGGGGGATGGGTGCATGAGGCCTTAGAGACTCCTTGGCTCTTCATGCCCAGGGAGATGGATAGGCTGAGAAGAGACCCAAGAAGACCTTATCCTCAGGCTTATCCTTGGCTCAGAGACAATGTACAGCAGATACATATATTTAAAATCCCAAAGCAATAAACAAAAACAATAGTGAAGCCTGGTGTGGTGGCACATGCTTGTAACCCTAGCAATTGGGAGGCTGAGGCAGGAGGATCACTGTGAGTTCGAGACCAGCCTGGGCTACATAGTGAGTTCCAGGTCCGTCTCAACTACGTAGTGAGACCCTGTCTCAAAAATACAAACTAACAAACAAAAAACGATCCTCAATATGTACATCCAGAAAGTTCCCTTTGAAACTTTATACAGGAGGCCAGAAGGCAGTGGGGTGCTCCTCGATTCATCACAAGATTAAGTCTGGTAAACACATTCTATGCTAAAATATTGTGTTGTGAAGCGTTTAATGCACCTGAACATCACAGCCACACCCTAAGCTGTGGTGAATTATTACTTATGCTTGTGATTGTGGGGTTGGCTGGGAGCTGTGGTTCGCCGCCACTGCTCAGCACTAACCAGGAGTACCAATCATCCGGGAAAGATCAAAATTCAAAAAAATTCAAAATGTGGTTTCCATTAAATGTTTGTTGTTTTTGCGGCACTGTAAAATAAAAATAGTGTAAGTCAACCCATATAAATCTGAGATAACCTGTATTCAAGGTGCTAAAAAAAAAAAAAAAAAAAAAAAAAAAAAAAAGCTACCAACCAGGAATTGATCCTATTTTCAGAAAAAATTGTTCTTTCAGATTTAAGGAGAGGACTGCAGACATAGCTCAGTGGTAGAGTGCTTGCCTAGCATGCATGAGGCCCCGAGTTCAATCCCCAGTAAAAATGTGTACAGAAAGGATAACATTTCCAGATAAAGCAGAGCTGAGAGAGTTTGTTACTCCTAGATCTCCTCTGAAATAAAAGCTCAAGAAAGTCACGTAGGTTGACGTGGTGGACATCGTGTAGTAGCTGTAAGAAGAAATAAGTCTCCCAGAGGGGTTAACACATGGGCAGCTATAAAAGCTAGTATTATTTTAACAGGTTTGTAGCTGTACTTTCTGTTGCTCCATGAGACTAATACATTAATTTTTTTTTTCAAGCGGGGCGTCAGGGCACAACTTGTTGTAGCAGACACCTTTGCCCAGTATTAGCAGGCTATAGTGACACAAGCTTCTTGCCCCTCCATAATTCGGCTGTGTTACACTGGAAGTAGTCCAATGAGCTAAGTTTACTTCCAGCCAAGGTCAACTCAGCTCCAGCTAAATTGCTCCCCTCTGAATTAACCATTTGTTCTCTTTGACGAAGATATGCTTGTCCCCTCATTCTGCAGTCCTGCCTGCTTAATACTTGTTATCAGCAGGTGTCCCCAGGCCGGCCCAGCCTTCCCCCTTCCCACACTTGTAATGAATAAATACTGGATGTCCTGGAAGTCCTTTGTCTTTGCTGCCCAGAGACTCAGTTTCTGAGTCAAGACTCAAGACTTGACTCAAGTCAAGACTCAGTTTCTCTCAAGTCTCTGTCTGTGTACTTCTTTTAATCCCCACTTTCCTATCTTATAGACGTTGTACTACTGGCTTGCAGGAGACCAGGACCACTGCAGGGATCTCTGGCAAGATCTCCTTTCCTTTTCCCTATAATTTGGAATCCCAGAAACCTAGGAGGCTGAGGCAGAAGGATCACAAGTTCTAGACCAGTTTGAGGAACATGGTGGCTTAGCGAGACCCTGTCTCAAAGTAAAACACAAAAAAGGGACAAGGGCTATA